TCTTGATCTCTTCAAATGATATTATGTTATTTATTCTCTCTGTATGTGCCCAGCTTGGTCTAACCTTTCCCTTTATGAAAATGATCCCTGTTCTTTTTACTCTCTAATGTGTATTAATCTTTGGCGTCCAGTTCAACTTGAAACCGTCTATTTCCCTATCATTTTATTTATGTGATTCTCTAATTCTAATGAACTTCTAATGTGGCAAATAAATGAGTTAATAGCTATTCAGGGTCACATGCCTGTTGGAATGAGAAAAGAGGAGGTTTCCTTAGTAGTGTGTAAAGCGAAACTTGTGCTGAGACTGTGCTGCTAACAAGACCAAAGTGCCACCCCACTCTTAGTTTCTAGTTTTAGCTTCAAAATGGTAAGAAGAGGTTGCAAAGGACTCTCTTTAGACAATTTTTGTTTTATCAAGAGAAAACTAGACAGAGTTAAAATTCTGTGGCCTTCTGAAGGGTTTTATCCCCATACTCTGGTTGTTGGCTGTCATTCTGCTTACATGGATTATGCTTAAGACACCCTGCTACCATTTGCTCTGGTCTTTGTCTCCTGAAAATCAAATTATGGACTATTGCAGTGAGAGGTTTCTGACTTTGCTCATCAAAATTGTACTCATGAAAATTCTTTCCTGTAAGAAACAAGGTTGTTTGCATCCCTTGTTTCGCATTCCCGTAACACTAACATTGCAAATTGTTTGTTGACATTTTATGCTATCTAATTATGTGTCTCATCATTCCTAATTGTCCAGCTCAGTCTCAGGTTTGACTCTTTCCTAGTCCTTACATGGAGCTATATTTACTTTACCATTGAATTGCTTATATATCCTTCCTGAACATTCATTCTCAGATACAAATGTTGAGATGAAAATTTATATTTTCTTATATTGTATTAGAAACCAAGCAATAAAATAAAGCAGTATTTTTGGAATAAAATGAAATATGATAAAATCTTTATTGCAATTAGTAGTTTTGAAATAAATTACCCAAAAGGTTCACATTTTAAATAGGATGCTTTCAGATAGTTTTTAAGACATAATATTCTTTAGTATCTAATCATTAATGTACATAGTCCATTATATAAGAAGAATATAAATGTTTATTTATCTCCCCTAATAAAACACTTTGGCTAAACTAAAAGCCTCTTTCTCTCTCTCAATTGCCTCCTAACCTAAATCAGAGTAGATAAATAAACCTTTGATCTCTTTATATCTTTATCTTTTTTGTCAAAGATAATCTATAAATGTCATTAAATATTGTGTATCAACTAATGAGAAAAGTAAGAAAACTCATGAAGCACTGCAAAGAAGATGGGAGGCTTAAAATTATTTTAAGATTGAGAATATTAGTAAACTATAATCTTCATCACAATGATTTGCAAAGCCAGAAAAGGCCTTTAAAAAGCTATGTGATATAACTTATTGCCATTTACCTGATGGATCTCTGTCATTTTTTTTTATGATAACTCCACTGTAACAATTTCACCTCAGTAATGTCCCTCAGACATATCCAGCTTTTTATACTTCAAGGTCCTTGCATGTGGTATTCCTTAATCCCAAAATGCTCTGCTCTTCTCTTGCAAAAAAAAAAAAAAAACCCAAAGCAAATAAAACAAAACAAAGAAACAAAAATAGCCAATATGATCCCCCTGGAACCAAGCCCCCGTGACCTTACTCATGTAATGAATATTTAAGTTTCTGTATCTAGGCAGTCCCCACTACTTCTCTCCTAATTGCTTTAATGCCAGTAAATGGAACTCAGGACCAATACTTTGGAGCTTAAAGCTGGGTCTACTTTGTTAAGATGAGACACATGATAAAACCAAAGGATTCTACCACCTAGCATATGATCACAGATTGAGCGTCTAAATTGTGTAGGTCCAGTTAGAGCAGGGGACCCAGTATGATTCAACTTAATCAAGTATACTGAAAAACACATATTAATCTAAATCTTCAACATCATTCATAAATGAAAGACAGTCAATGTTACAACAGAAAGAAAAAGAAAAGCAGGTAACAGTTGATGATATTCCAATTTGCATGACTGCAGATTTTTCAACACAAGCTTGACAGGCCAAAAAGACTGGGATAAGGCTTCTAGTACTGAAGGAAAACAAAGACATGCCAAGATTACTGTCTCCTGACAAGCTAATCTACAGATGACAGGGTAAGTTAGAGACATCCTCAGAAAAATAAAAGTTGAGAGAATTTATTATCAGCAGACTTGTCCTATAATAAGTGCTAAAGGGATTTTTTTTTCATCTGAAAGAGATGATAAATAAGGAAATATTAAAAGGGAGAAAACTCACTTTTTAAAATAACTATACTAACAATTTAGTAGGACATAACATTGTAAAGATTGTGCGCAAATAATTCATATTTTTATTGTGAAGACCAGAAAACTAGGAACAGTGACTATTCACATTTTCCCAATTTAGGGTTTTACCAGACTGGCACTGAGTATCAAAACATCCCTATGTTTTCTAGATGTTTGCCCAAGATCATCAGGGAGAGCAGCTCTTAATTACCCAGACACTAGATCACACAATCATCAAGGGATGTGCTGTGCAGTTTTAGGATGCACACTACACCCATATGACAGTAAATAATGCTGAAGTGAAAACTGGAAAGTTAAGAGATTATACCTTCAGGCACTTGTCTAGGCATGGGGACTATTAGGATGTGCCCAGTGTTAGACTTAACCGAAGCCCAAATGCAGTCCTGCCACTCCTTGCTGACAACTTAAGGATTAGAATTGTACCTACAAATTACATTGAATCTGTTAAAGGTAGTTAAAAATTAAACACATATAAACACAAAAATGAAACACATTGAGACAAAATAAAAACTCATTAATGGCAAAATAATTCAGTTAAGGACTGGGCAAAAACCACCAACAGGTACTTTGCAACCGATGCAAAGGATGAGATACAAACGACCACCACATGATAAAATTCTCAGGATCACTAGCCATCAGGATAATGTCAATAAAAACCATGATGAGGTTTTACCTCATCTCAGAGAGAATGGGTCTTATTCAAAAATTTTTAAAAATGCTGATGAGAATGTGGGAGAAAGAGTATTTTAATACACTGTTGGTGGGAATATAAACTAGTGCAACCACTATAGAGGACAGTAGGAAGATTCCTCACAGATCTAAAAATAGATCTATCTTATAAGTCATTCCTGAGAACTTATCCAAACAGAATGAAATCATGATAACACTAAGTTATTTATACACCCATTTTTGCTGCAGCTCAATATACAGTAGCTAAGTAATGGAATTAAGCCAGATGTCCATAAATGGATGACTGAATTTTAAAAATTCACTATATACATTGTAAGATACTGCTCAGCCATAAAAAATAAAATTTAAATAATACTGTCTTTTAAAATAAAATGGATGCAATTGGAAAGCATTATGTTCAACAAAATAAAGCAGTGTCAAAAATACAAATATCGTGTTTTTTCTGATATTCGGAAGCTGCTACAGGGAATGGTGGTGGAGTATGTTTTCTGGTTGCCTAGTTACAGAGAATCCAAACCCCAGTCTGCAGCTGGAACCTTGGAACAAAGGCTGTGTGGCTCTGTACGACTTAGACTTTTATTTTAATGTGCCTCATACCGAGATTGAAGTCTAAGTGCTGATGTAAACTTTTTCCCCTTGAGTCAAGTGGGATGTGTTCCTTTCCTCACTGAGCTATATAAGCTGAGGGAGGGTGATGAAAGCACCTATTGCCTGCTGTTTTTGAATGTGAGTCTCCATCTTACTTTACAATCAGATACTGTGGAATCTCACTTGGATTCCATAGCTTCTCTGAGTGTGAGCTGGTGAATTAACTGTTCTAGGCAAGGCCTCTGAAGTGCTCGCTGTAGCCCCTTAGCTGGCTGACGTTTTGCTTTACTATCATGTAGGTAGTTTATTTAAAATGGTGCAGATTTATCCTTTCTCATTATTCTAGATTCTGTTTGTCTTTCTCTCTCTTATTTGTATAGTGCTCACTACTAAACACCATCATGTCTTAACTATTGCAATAGGACTGCCATTACTACTGCTTTACAGATCAAGTAAAATAGAGATGCCATGAGATTAAATAACTTCCTCAAGGACAATAGTTAACATTGTGAATACTAGATATTTATCCTAAAACCTATATCTTAAACAATATATATATATTTGATAGATAATATATATATATATATTTGATAGATGAGATGGCAGAGGAGGAGAGGCATTCTCTCTGTTTCACTAGATAGCTAAGGGAATAATGAAAGAATAAACAAGGAAAAATGTACAATACAGTAAAATTAGGAAATGTCCTTAAACCTAACCAAGTGTAGGCTGCTAGGGGCTGAGAACCACTCCGCTAGAGAATATAGTCACAGGATTCACCTCTAATTTGGACAATAACCTTTCATTGCAAATGGACAAGGGCATATATATGAATAATCACTGAGATAATTGAATTATGTTGTATTATATACATGAATGTAATTGAAATATAGTATATTAAAACATTTGTCCTAATAATTGTGCAGAAACTTAAATGCAAACATAGGAAAGTTCTTTTTAAGCATAACATTATTTTTTAAAACACAGGGAAATGCTCTAGGCTTGAGAAAATTAAAGTGTTAGCATCAAGATATTATAAGCTAAGTGAAAAATTGAAGAAATATTCACAACACATAATACCAACAAGTGGTTTAAATATTTTACAATGACCTCGCATAATAAAACACTGAGATTCTTTCATTCAACTAATATCTATGCTCAGTCACATATGTATTAGTTATGTTTGATTATACTCTTAAATAAATGAACTGAATTAGCTTCAAAAGCGTATACATATGGCTAAGCTTTACTGCAAAAGAAAAGGACACATTTAATGGTTGAAAAATAAACTCACTCTTAGAATCTCAAAAGCTAGAATTTGAAAATAGTTGAGAAAAACAATCCATTGGTAGGTTACTTCTTTTCACCGATGTTAAAGGTGTGACTTACCTCCAGGTGACCAGTTAAGGTAGCAATGTGAAGGGCCGTGAGGCCACCATACCCCACTTGCTGTATATCAGCTCCACTGTGAAGCAGAGAAGTGATCAATTCTGCACTATCCTGTAAGGAAACACATCTTTAGTGTTACTTTTCTACTAATAGCAGGTTCAAAAGCTGTGCAACAGGATGTATTGATTCCTGACTGTCAGCCAGTTCATGCGCTCAAAGAAAACCTAAGTGTGATTTCTGGCAGAAAAGTACATTAGATATAAGAGAGAGACTCAGACTGTTGAAACGTCAGACCAAATGATAGAATTCTGCAATTTCAATCAATCTTCCAGCACTCAATTGTGAAAGGCAGAAAGGACATTTACCTATGGTGAAGCTCTTGCAAACTCAGGTCAATCTTCTACAGAGCTTTCCAATAAATAGACTTTCTCCAGAAATGAAAGTAAAATCCCAAGAGGTCAGGAGTTTATAAGACTAGTTTGTTGTTTTATTTTAGTTTTTGGAGATGCAAATGCAACATCTACAAACAATATGACAGGTGACAGGCCACATTTGACCCTGCACTGGATGATGCACATGAATGTCAATTCTGAAGTCACTGCAGATGAAGTTTCTTGGGGACTCCCTATTGGATCACAGGACTCATACTTTGGCCACTGGCGAAGTCACAGGATGTGTAGTCCAACCCTGGAGTGCATAAATCTGCTGATGCTTGTGCAGTGGGCAGCCTGCCAGAAGCACACAGAGAACATAATGGCCAGATCATCTAGCCAGCAGGGGACATCCACTGCCTCCTCAGAGGATGGGAAGCAAAATGGTTAGACCATTTTCCTGGCCAAGCTTTAAAATACATTCATGAATCTGTGGATGCAATTATATGGGCTTTGCCAATAGACCTTAGAAAGATTTTCTAAACCCCAGAGCAGCAAAACCAACAACTTCTCAGAACTATCAAAATAACCCACATAGCGCCTTCAGAACACTCTTCCCCACACCAAATTCTTTAAGGAATTGTCAAAGGACCATTTCCTCATCCCTAGGTGCTGATGTTGTTTCATCAAAGCAAGGAGGGTCCCTCTTCCCACCCTCCCCTGTGCATATAGAAGAGGGGAACAAAAGAGAGAAGCATGTGTCCCATCCCACTTGCTCCATGCCTGACCCTTCCCATCCTAACCAAAGGCCCCCATGGGCATGCATCCCTCTCAACTATGCAAAGAAAATTAAAATGTTTCTTTTAAATAGAATATGGAACAAATTATAGCTCAGTGGACTGGTTGCTCTTTTATAATATGTACTATCATGGATTCCAGGCATAGTTAATTGGTAGTATATTTTTGGATCATTTGTATAGTGAAAATCTTAGAACAATTATTTGAACCTTCAAGTTTGAAAATTTTATGCAACAAAATAACTTCCTTTCCTCATGCTATTTTTTGTGCTGTACTCATTTAGAAGTGGTGTGAAGTATGAAAGTGTATTAACAGAAGCTAACAAGCTAACGTGCATTGAATTTCATTAGGTAGATAACTGTATTAGTCCAGGAACAGGTTTTGTAATAAACGGTTACTGATCAAAATGAAAACAAATATTACTTCTTATAAATTTATAAAATTACTACCTAATCATTTTATAATCAGAACATTCAAAAGAATGAAGTGGAAGATCGCATATTCAAAATGTCCCATATGGGAAGGGGATACAAAGTTCTCAGTGTATAATACTGTCCTTTAAAGGGAAATTTCAAACCACAATTTTTTGACACTTGATGTATCAATACATCAACTGGCAAGAAAGTAAAATCTTTAATGAATCTAGCATTAAATTCATGAGTTAAATGAATATAATTTCAAAAAACACTTAATTATTTCATTAAAAAGCAAAACTTGTTTCCTTTTTCCTCCCCCCCTTCCCTTCCCTTCCTTTTTTTCCTTTGTTTTACTTTCTTTTCCTTTTTTTCTCCATTCTCCTTTCCTTTTCCTTCTTCTTTCCTTCTTTTTCCTCTTTTAAGAAATTATTTGTTCAGGGGCTGACTAAAATCTCTCCCTCTCTCTCTCGCTCTCTCTAAGTATTTATTTATTTAAATAGTTACAAAAGGAAAAAGAGAGAAGGAACTTTCCCATCCACTGGTTCACTCCACAAAGTGGCTAAATTGGGTAGGTAGGAATGAGCCAGATAGAAGTCGGGTGCTTAGAACTCCAACAGGAAGTCTAGACTGGCTTATAACTCTAACAAGACATATGTCAACACTTTAGGTGCAGAACAGTTTTAAGGAGGGGTGTGCAGAGAAATCTTCAATGCCCTAGTGAGGAATAACTAATCTTTGTGTCCCATCTAGTAAGATATAAGTGAGTCCACGCTGACCATTTCCTGTCTGATTTTTGGCTTTCCTTGTTGTTCTCTGTCTATTCTAGATTTTTTGTTTGTTTGCTTGGTTGGTTATTTGTTTGTTTTGAGGTGTTTCTGGAGTGATCCTGATGGTCATTGCCAGAGAGGGTGTGGACCCAAAGTTGGAACGAAGCGAGGACTAGAGAGAGCTCCCCTCCCCAGTCCCGAAGGAAGTTTACTATTCTTCTGTTTCTGCGGACTGCTCAGGGCTCCTGGCTGTTTTCTGATGCTCTTGGATCCTGTGAGGGAGGAATTGGACTTCTTCTATCCCATGTGGTAGATTCAAGTAGGAGTGGTTGACCTCAGAGTTCTTGGCCTCCGAAGGCACTGCAATTCCTCATGGTCTCCTTGGTAGTTGGGATATAGTCCTTGGTGCTCATACTGATAGTCTTTGGTGAGGATCCGGGTTGGGATACAAGCCTCCTCCTATCCCCCTGCTCTGCTCTGGGGTCCCCCTTGCTCTTTGCATATGACCTCCTGTTAAGAGGTTGTCAGCATCACTCTTGATTCCCCCTATATGTCTTTATAGTTTAACTATTGTCTAATTCTGATTAAAGTCTGTTGTCTATGAGTTACCAGTTATGATCCTGGTCAGTTGTATTTCACATCTACCTCACACATTCTAGGGAGATGGAAGGTTTCTCTGCTCTCCTGCTCCATTATGGAATAACATAGGATATTAGAAGTATATTAGGTTTTACAGTTCTTTGATTTAGATCATAAGCAGTCTGCAACACTATAAAAAGCTAAATACTACAATGAAAATAGACACAAGACAGCTGAATAGTAATCTATAGCCATTTTAAGGTGTATAGAACCTGGTTGTGTATATACTAAAATTAAAATGTCAATGAGAGGGGTGGTTGCAGGATGTAGTTAAGAACTTGCTTTTTTTTTTTTTTTTTAGCATGTTGGTTACTCAGTACTACGTCCACTAATTCCATGACATTGTAAATTGTTGCTGATGTTGTGTTGGGGCTTTTAAATGATTGGGATGATACTCTGCTGGCTCTACCTTCGGACCAGAGATGGTCTCCCCAAGAAGCCATTGAACTTACATGGACAATAAGATACTGGACACTATGCTTGGTATATGCTTGCAATGAAAGAACCTCAACTGAACTTTAACTGTGGTAATGAAGCAAGGTGGAGAGTCCACCATGAGGGGAGGGTTTTAGGAAGGGTGGGGGAAATCCCAATACCTATAAAACTGTGTCACATAATGCAATGTAATTAATATAAAAAAATAAATTTCAACTAAAAAAAAAAAAAAGAACTCCAACAGGTTCTTTTGCCTGGGTTGCAGTGCATCGAACACTTGGGCTATCTTCTGCTGCTTTCCAAAATGAATTAATAGTAGGCTGGGTTGGAAGTAGGGCAGCATGAGAGGGATCCACTGGATGAGAACAGAGACTTTTAAATAAGGACAGGTAAGCCCTATGCCCCTAATCAGCAAGAAGTAATTAAAAGTGATGTGATGGTTCTACACCATTTTACAATCCTTAGGATTCAGAGTTGAAAATGTCTGAGGAGGGAATGACATATGCATCTATGTAACTGACTCAGGCTGATGTATTGCAGGCCATACATCTCCCACTTTATGTAAATCCCATCTGTAATCAAATGGCCTGCCCCCCTCCAGCCTGTCCTCTGACTTCTTCCCCACCCCTATGGACCTGGGGGTGATTTCATGTAACCACTCCCCTTTCCAAGCACATATGTAGTCTGGACACAGAGAGGGGTTCTCTCTCTACCCTCTCAAGCTTCTAAACTGTCAATGTATTCTGATGTCTCCAGCATCTGAACCTGGAAATCAGGAACGTCAGTGGGAAAATATTAATCTTTTTATCCTGATTTCTGTTTCACTTTTTCTACAAAGAAATTCTTAGTTCAAGTTGAGTTGATTGAGAATCAGCATTATTATTACTGTGTTTTTAAAATAAACCGCTACTAGGTATCAGGCCATAAAGGATGGCAACAGGAAACTGAGGAGCAGAAAGGGGGAAGGAGTTGGCCAGAATCAAACTGCAACTCCAGAAATGTAGAGCTGATTCTCCGTTTCTATTGCACTTCCAACCCTATTCTGTTCTTGAGCTGGCTTTCGATGGCTTTGATTCTGTATGAGATGTCAATGTGAACTTCAATAATCTTGTGAACCTAAACTAGGGCTGTTGCCTAAAAAAAGAAAATCAAATTGCTAGTCTCATGAAACAATACTTTACTGAATATTTGTGACTTGAAAGACAAACAAACATATTAGAAAATGTATTGCAGCATGAAGCAACAATGACTATAAAACAGAAAAACATAAGTGACTACTTTAAAGGTGCTAATCAGAGAACACCTGACTATAAATTTTGAAGTAAATGATAAACAGAAGAATGCCAAACAGAAAGAACACAATCCACAATTTCAAAGATTAGCATTAAAGGACAATAGAGGGGCCCAGCACGATAGCGTAGTGGTTAATGTCCTCACCTTAAACATGCCTGGGATGCCATATGGGCACCAGTTCTAATCCCTATGGCTCCACTTCCCATCCAGCTCCCTGCTTGTGGCCTGGGAAATCAGTCAAGGACAGCCCAAAGCCTTGGGACCCTGCACCTTCATGGGAGACCCAGAGGAAGCTCCTGGCTTCGGATTGGCGCATCACCGGTCATTGTGGCCGCTTGGGGAGTGAATCATCTAACAGAAAATCTTCCTCTCTTTCTATCCTCCTCATTGTA